ATGAGAAGCTAACGCTGCTTCCCCCGGTGGGTTTATGGCACAAAAGCCTCCAACGGCCCCCTAGGCCTGTCCTTAAATTTCCCAGACCATCAGCCGGGTACCCGGGAAGCTGCAAAACCATTAGTCCTTACTAAAGAAACATTCATTAGGAATTTTTTTCACAAGTTCATGATTTATACTTGTATTTTTTTTGTACTTTTCAAGAAGGCGTGGTAACAAAATAACATCTGTTGGACTTTGGAGTCTGTGCTTTCCACAGTCAGTTGACAAAGCGGCGTTGTGCGGTTAGGCGGCGTCCGGCCGAGGTATAACCACGTCCGGCTGGGCTATACCCTCGTCCGGCCGAGGTATACCCGCGTCCGACCGAGGTATACTTGCGTCCGGCCGAAATATACCCTCGTCCGGCTCAGTTATACCCGCGTCCGGCCGAGGTATACCCTTGTCCGGCCGAGCTATACCATCATCCGGCCGAAATATACCCTCGTCCGGCTGAGCTATACCCTCGTCCGGCTGAGCTATACCCTCGTCCGGCTGAGCTATACCCTCGTCCGGCTGAGCTATACCCGCGTCTGGCCGATGTACACCCGCGTCTGGCCGAGATATACCCTCGTCCGGCCTAGCTATACCATCGTCCAGCCGAAATATACCCTTGTCCGGCTGAGCTATACCCGCGTCCGGCCGAGGTATAACCGCTTCCGGCCGAGGTATACCCGCGTCTGACCGAGGTATTCCCGCGTCTGTCCGAGCTATACCATCGTCCGACCGAGCTATACCATCGTCCAGCCGAAATATACCCTCGTCCGGCCGCAATATACCCTCATCCGGCCGAGCTATACCCGTGTCCGGCCGGGCTATACCCGCGTGGTGGAGTGGCCGTGGGGCAGGTTCGTACTGTTCTGGCTGCCCCCGAACGCGTTGAAGTTGTGCAGCGGCTGCATGGCGGCCAGGGAGTTGGGGATCATGGTGATTGTGCTGGGCGCCATCAGGGGGACGTCGTCGGGCGAGCGGCGCAGCGTGAGCGTGTAGTCGGGGGGGAGGGCCAGCCGCAGCGCGTCGTGGCTGGGGGGCGGCGGCTCGCCGCACTCGTGGTGGTGCTCGTGCTCCAGCTGCTTCATCTGCAGGGACATCAGCTCCTCGCTCTGAAGGTGCGCCACGTCGTTGGCCGCCACCGCCGCCGGCGTGGCGCCGGCCGGGGTGGAGTTCCGCTGCGGCGTGGCGGCGCGGCGGTTGGACTCGTGGCGCCGCTTGTCTTTCTTGTAGTACAGGGCGGCGAAGGCCAGGATGTTAAGGAAGAGCAGCGAGGCGCCCACGGCGATGGTCACGCTGAGCTCGGTGGAGTAGTCCCGCTTGGTCTCGATCACCACGGTGGACTGCTCGCCCAGGTCCCCGCCCTTGTGCTGGTCCGGGCTCTGCTTGGTGTTGGCGGAGGGGATCCCGGGGTGGCGCGTGGTGGACGGCCAGCTGTTCTTCCCCGGGAAGCGCTTGGTGTACGGGTAGGGGGTGGTGTCCTGCGGGGGGATCTTGGTGGTGGTGGACACGTACTGGAAAAACTCGTTGATGTTGTGGAGGTGCGGCACCAGCTCCAGCCAGAACGCCACCTTCGTGGCGCGGTAGTGGTCTCGGACCCGAGGCTTGAGGCCGATGTGGAGGTAGAGCTGGTCTTTGGGGTTGTACTTGGTCCAGGCCACCTCCTCGAAGCGGTTAGGCTTCGTATGGATGAATTTGGTATCCTGCGGAACCGGCTGGTTGGGATCCCTGAAAGTGGAGCATACCAGTGCAAGTTAGGATGAGCGCTCAATTATGAATTGGACCTCTCTCTAAACCAGCAAGAACTTTAGGAAACGTTTCACATCAGTGTTTCCAGGAAATTCAAAAGCTAATCCTTAGACTTCCTGAGCACTCAAGATCTCTCATATATCGGTTAACATCCCAGACATGATCCCAGTTTCCTAATACTCTTTTTGTTACTTCTTAATGGGGTTTCGGACATGTCCCACTTTATCTGCCTGTGCATCTTGGACTTCCTGACTACAGGGACGTGAGCATTCAGCCACTTTTCCCTGGGGGGACTCAGGAGGAACAATCCTCCTCCGGAACACCTCCCACAGGGGCAGCTGGTGGCCTTCCACAGGTGCTCCATAGAGAGAATTTCCTAACCCTGACCCTAACATTTACGCTAACCCTAACCCTGATCCGACCCTAACCCTAACCGTAACCCTGACCTTTAACCCTGTAATTCCAAATGTATCATATTTGATACGGTTTCTGAAATGTTTTGCGTCTGACACCTTTTGGATAATTAAATGGTAAAAATTGCTCAAAATCCTATTGTACACAATCAGATACACCTGATAACAGGGGGCAGAAGATACACAAAAATAATCTGGATTTATCGCATAGTAATAAATTATTAATATCATAAATGTATTTCTGTTTTTTATTTTGACATATTTTGTTAAAAGGCCAAATAAAGACTTCAAACCAAAAAAAACTAATTTTCTGTTTTGTTTTATTCTTGGATCAGGCTTTAAAGGGTTAAAGTGACCCTGACTCTGACCCTGACTGTTGTGACCCTAACCCTAACATTTACCCTAACTCTAATCATAACCCTAAAATTTACGCTAACCCTGACTCTAACCCTAACCCTGGACATCACCTTTTAAACTTCTGCTGGTAGAGGATACGTAAGAGCAGAACTAAAAGACTAAAGAACAGTTTCTACCCCTCTGAACTTCACGAATAACTCTAGACTGTGATTGGATTCCTGAGCGTTGCCGTTCTTAGTTATTTATCCATCTGGGTTATTATTTATTCCGCACCGAGTTTTGCACTTTCAATTTCGTCGAGCGGTGAGGATAAAGACTTTCAATCCAACACGTCTCTGGTGAAGGTAGGGCTGAATTAATTAACTCTGGATGGGCGAGGGGGGGGGGAGACCCCCTTAGAGCTGACACTCTGGTGCGTGCCATTTCTGAATATGAGTGTTAGCAAAACAGGAAAACTGAACCATAGAGGATATTTAGAGAATTCCTACAAGCATATGTCAATGGTTAGGGTTAGAAACATTTAAATAACCAGGATAGAAAGCCTTATTTACAAGATTCCCATTTATCGTCTGTCCCAGTTCTTATCATTTCTATATATTATTATTATAGGCCACAAATTAGTGACCTCATATCTATTTTTACGTTTCTTTACATAGATTCTAAGGCTTTAGAAAGCCTCCCACACCTGGTTAGGGGTAGGTAAATATCTGTGCTGGCTCCACATGCAGCGAGGATTAAAAAGCCTATTTATAAGATTCCTATCCTTCCCCAGTCACAGCTGGTGCTCTAGATTAGGCCGTCGGAACTGTGAGTCAGATAAAGCACCCGCTGGCACAGATGTTGTTCGCTTGAAAAAAATACCAGAAGCTAACCCCGCGATACGCGAAAATCCGCTAAGTGGTGACCTCGTATTTATTTACATGTATTTTCTAAGGCTTTAGAGACTATCCCACGTCCATCCATCAGCCAATAGTTATTCAAAAAATAGAAATATAACCCTTAATAACCGGCAACTCGGTGGGTTATTTTGGATTTTGACAGGGTGAGAGTGTACAAAATGAACAGCAATATGGCGTGGGAGGCTCGCCAAAGAGTGAGGAAGCACGTAAAAGCGCTCGTATCAAAAGCTGTTCTGGCAAACCTGGTGCACTTCACAGAAGGCGGGGAAGGTCGAAACGCTGATTCAGATCAGACTCCTCATTTAGCAGCCAGTCCGTGACCCTCAGAGTCCCCGAGGCGCTTTTATTCCAGTTAAATAACATTGGAAATGTGTGTTTGAAGCTAAATCATGACCTCCTAACACTGACCAGATGTCCAGCACCACCACGGCCTGCAGGGCTCCGCGATGCGTCAGAATGTGTTGTTTATCCTCCTGATTTATGCGCTCCTAAAAAGCTAAAAAGCTAAAACATCGCTAGTGTCCTGGCAGGAATCTCGTCCGCTCAATTAGTCGCACTTAGAAGGATGCGTTCTGTAAAAGCCCCGACAATCAGAGGCGGAAAGTGCCAAGCCTGGAGACACCCCCTGACCCGGTTTAGGAACGGCTGAGTGTCTCTCTGGGTCTCCATTAGCACACTGGAGCTAGCCTAGCTAGGAACCTTTAACTCATTGGCTGCCAAAGACGTCTATAGACGTCAATTCAAATACAACCGTTGACCGCCAAAGACGTCTATAGAGGTCTTTTATGTTTTTAACGAGAGTGTCTGGGGGACGATCTGCTAAAGCTTGTCCGTAAATATGGGCTTCTAGACAGAGTATGTAGTAACAAATTGAGCCTCTAGGGGGCAGTGCCACTTTTGATGGGAGATGAGCATAGACTGTAGGCAAATAAGAAAAAGGGAACGGTTCTATGAGAGAACATGTCGCCGGTGAGACGCAAGTCCAGGAAGAACGGAATAAGGTAGAAACACATTTTTTTTCCTGATGAAAGAAGAGAGTCTACTCTTTCTTTTGGTGTGTTCGGTGTTTACATAGTCATAGCACAAACTATTCTGTGGCTCTTGAAAAATCTGTCAAAATGCTAAAAAAAACTCTGGCAGTCAATGAAGCTAGGAACCTTTAAGGGCAGGGAGGACCCGGCTTTGTTTTGGGACGAACGGCAGTCGTTTAGACCGTTAGCAGGGCCTGAAAGAGTGATTCTGTGAGGTTAACGGCTCCACATGTGCCTCTGAACGTCCTCATTAGGGGGCTGGGAAGCAGTCTACAGCTGGAGGCTGCATATGGAGCCATACAACAAGCCACTCGACGTGTGCAAGGGCTTAACTTTAGGCCTGTCACTTCCACTCCAACACGTGTAAACAAATCCAGGCGACGCTCGAGGCCTTCCACGCTTATCGAACTGCTAAATACCTCCTTTGCCTCCATATGTTTGCACCACACACTCAGTCTGCCGGTGATAATGGAGAGTTTTGACGCCCCAGAATCGTCCCAGAAGCTATGCTACATGCTAGCGCAGGCTAAAGCAGATGCTTCCACCAGCTGGGACCGTCTTCACACCCACAGATACAAGTCAGAGGAACACCCTGTGTTCACTTTATGGAAGAGGAGCTCCAACGCAGACAGAACAGACAGAAAAATAGTTTTAAAAGATAGTCATTGCTCAATATTTGCCAGTTGGACGTTTTAATTTGTGGTCAGCTCAGGAGTAATTTGCTTTGAGTTGTTTCCGTTTCTCCTATTGTTAGCCTTTTCCAGTCTCATTTGACTGTTTCTGAACCTAATCCTCTATCCACATGTCAGTTTGTGGGTCATTTTATGTGTGTTTGAGACTAATTACAATGAGAGGAACTTCTGAACTGCACTGATTGAATGAGGTCTTACTAAAGAGAAATGTATTTAGTTTCTCCTGAAAGTGTCAGGAACTCTGGGTGATACAGAGACAGAATAGTGAAGCTCTGAAGTCGATATAAAATCTAACTTTTGGTCTGCCGACAGTGCAAATAGATTTATATTTGAATAAGACAGCACAAAAGATAACTACCTTACAGTTTTTTTCCACCAAAAGACACATTCTGAGATAACAAAAGGAATTTATTTGCTTTGAATTTTCACTTTGATCAGAAACGTTCACAAATTCAACATTTTAGCTAGTTTTTGCTATCACCACAAACCCTAACCCTACAATTCATCTCATAACTTTGACTGCAAGAGTAGCATACTTATTTGTATTGGTCATATTAATCAAAAACACACTAATACATCACCAGATCAAAAAGCAAAGAGCGAACCCTAACCCAAATGCATCGAAGGGTAATGTTAGAAAGAGCAAACCCTAACCTATACAGGCTTCTGAAACTGTCACAAACCAAAAGTATGTTTTTAATTAAATGACACGGCAAACAAGACATTGTAGATGGAAGTGGAAAAACAAATTAAATTAAACTACGTTGAATTTAATAGACTGTTCCACATAAGTTGTGTTAATATTTGCACAATGTCGACAGGCGGAATGCAAACTTTATTCACTGAGCTTTATCCACGGGATTATGGACTATGGAGGAAAAAACAGTTCCGTCTATTTAAGCTTGGCGTTATCGCCCCGGTTTGTTTGACTGCTTATGAGGCCAGAGGTAGGAAATGATCCCCAAATGTTTGACATCGGCACAAAGTTTCCAGTCACTTTTGGAAGGGAAGCTGTAAGTCGGCTCATTGACTGGAAATTATACCTCGGTCTTGAGGAGAACTAGCAGAACTCTGATTTCTCTGGACTCTGGAGGTTGATGTCAGAGTTTAAATAGAGCAGAAAAGGAAGCATCCAGCTGGTTTTCACACCCAAACACGAAGAAACTCAGTCAGGACTCATTAGGGTTTCATCAGGTATCCATCCATGTCTTCTATCCTTTCCTTTCTTTTGGTAAATCTACCTCGAAATGTCCAAATAATAACGTTTTTGGTGGTTGATATGTTTGGGACGATAGTTTGATCTCCATGGACAGAACAGTTGGACCTAGCTGAAGCCAAATTCATGACCTTATAACCTTTTTTAGATTGATTCAAATGTAATTAGATCACTTTGATTAGGATTTGATTGCATTTGAGAACTTGTTTGTTTGCAGTTTAATTAGATTAAACTAAGATTAAACTCTATCATTTTCTTTCTTTTGGTAAATCTACTTTGAAATGTCCAAATAATAACGTTTGATAGTTTGATGTCCATGGACAGAACAGTTGGACATAGCTGGAAATTGCAAAATTAATGACCTAAGAACCTTTTATTTTACATTTATTCAAATGTAATTAGATCACCTTGATTAGGATTTGATTGCATTTGCAAACCTATCCGGTTTTTGGAAGGGACGCTGTAAGTTTGATCTCCATGGACGGAACAGTTGGACCTAGCTAAAGCCAAATTCATGACCTTATAGCCTTTTTTTACATTGATTCAAATGTAATTAGACCTCTTTGATTAGGATTTGATTGCATTTGAGAATGAGTTTATTTGTAGTTTAATTATAATATACTGAACTGAACGGCTCAAATTGGTTCAAAATGATATTCACTGACCTAATTGCCGTCATTTGGTTTAAGTGGAATTAACATTTTGGCAGAAGAACCTACCTGGCTTTTGGAAGGGAAGCTGTAAGTTTGATCTCCATAACACCATGCCATTGATTCAAATGTAATTAAATCACTTTGTTTAGGATTTGATTGTATTTGGTAACTAGTTTGTTTGTAGTTTAATTAGATTAAACTGAACTGAATGGCTTGAATCGGTTCAAAATGATATTCATTGACCTAATTGCTGTCATTTGGTGTAATTGGAATGAACATTTTGGCAGAAGATCGGCAGAGGGAGGGAGAACCTAGTTTGTTTGCAGTTTAATTAGATTAAACTAAGATTAAACTCTATCCCTTTCTTTCTTTTGGTAAATCTACCTTGGAATGTCCAAATAATAACGTTTTTGGTGGTTGATATGTTTGGGACGATAGTTTGATCTCCAAGGACAGAACAATTGGACCTAGCTGAAGCTAAATTCCTGACCTTATAGACTTTTTTACATTGATTCAAATGTAATTAGATCACTTTGATTAGGATTTGATTGTATTTGAGAACTAGTTTGTTTGTAGTTTAATTAGATTAAACTGAACTGAATGGCTTGAATTGGTTCAAAATGATATTCATTGAACTAATTGCTGTCATTTGGTCTAATTGGAATTAACATTTTGGCAGAAGATCGGCAGAGGGAGGGAGAACCTAGTTTGTTTGCAGTTTAATAAGATTAAACTAAGATTAAACTCTATCCTTTTCTTTCTTTTGGTAAATCTACCTTGAAATGTCCAAATAATAATGTTTTTGGTGGTTGATATGTTTGGGACGATAGCTGAAGCCAAAATCAGTTTGTTTGTAGTTTACTTAGATTATACTGAACTGAATGGCTTGAATCGGTTCAAAATGATATTCATTGAACTAATTGCTGTCATTTGGTTTAAGTGGAATTAACATTTTGGCAGAAGATCGGCAGAACCTACCCGGTTTTGGCGAAGTTGGTCCAGTAGGTCATGACGACGGCGCTCAGCATGACGTCGTTCTTGGAGAAGTTGCAGTTGAACAGGTCGGTGGGTCCGATCATGGGGATCCCGAACACGTACGGGACCTCGTCGCCGTGGGCCGAGTCGGCCCAACTGGGCTTCATGTCGCTCTGACAGTGGTGGTAGAAGGCGTAGAAGTAGGTGGGCGACCCGTACTGGGCGTGGAGGTCCGCGGTGGCCACGGCCGGCGCCACCCACTGGTGGTCGGTGAACAGCGCCACCAGGGTTTTCCGCCGGGTCTCCGGGTTCTCCCGGTCGGCCCAGTCGGTGTACATGAACTTGATGGTCTCGCGCAGGGTATCCTTCCCTTCGGGGTATCCGTAGAGGTGGTCCACGAAGTCGGACACGGCGAAGTCGAAGTCGTTGGCGGACACGCCGTCCTCGCTGTCCACGATGCCGTCCACGAACTTGAAGCCCTCGCCCTGGTTGACGCCCAGCATGATGTCGTAGTTGAGGAACTCGCCCTGCTCCATGAGGATCTGGGGGTCGTCCGGGATCACGTCGCCGTCGATCACCGGCCCGAAGGCGATGTGGTACTTGGCGGGCGTGATGTACTGCTCGATCAGCTCCTTGTAGCTCTTCTTCTGGAGGCACTCCACCAGGTCGATGGTGTCCAGCATGTTGCAGCCCACCTTCTCGGCCAGGGAACGCGTGTACTTCGCAGGCTGGTAGTTCACCGCCCAGCTGGAGAGCGCCGTGCCACTCTGGATGATGGCCTTCTGAAAGAGATCTGACATCGGAAGCCTCATTA